TCTGGTATTGTTATCAATATCAAGAATATCAATATTAATAGTACTAGTGTTCTCATTATTAGTAGTAGTAGTAGTAATGTTCTTGTTGTTATTATTATTAATAGTATTACTATTGGTATTAATAGTATCATTATTAGTATTATGCATACGATGAGTATTATTATTACTACTACGACTACTACTACGACCACTACTACTATCCGTATTACTATTAATATGTGTATACATCGTCGTCTACGTATTATTATTATGATTAAAGTTGTGTACTTCTTATTATTAGTATTGCTCTTATCATTATTATTGGTAGTATTATTACTATTATTATTAATACTGTTATTATTAATAGTAGTTGTGGTAGCATTCGTCTTGTTATTATTCTTCTTATCCTAATTAGTATTGTTATTAGTAGGAAGCTGTAAGTGCTTTATTAATATTGTTAGCATTGCTCGCTTGCTTGTTTGTATTATTATTCGTCTTATTTTTCTTATTATTATTATTGCTAGTATTATTGGTAGTGGTATTAATATTATTATTATGACCTGTCTTTTCTTATTGTTAGTAATGATAGTATTATTATTAGTAGTAGTAGTAGTAGTAGTAGTATTCGTCGTAGTATGATTATTCTTCTCCATAATACTATTATTATGTATTGTTATCATTATTATTATTCGCTTCCTCGTTCTTATTACTATTCTTCTTATTTTTTCGTAGTATTACTCTTGTTCGTAATAGTAGCATTATTATTAGCATTCGTCTTCTTATTGTTCTTCTCATTATTCTTATTGTTATTATTCTTCTTCTGACAATTTATTGGCGAAATATCCTCTCCATGGATGGAGTTACCCGACGTCCTTGGCCTCGAATGCACTGCTACGATTTCAAGTGGCCCTCTGACGGAAGCACTGGCTGAGCCACGCCCTCCGCCCGGCGTTCAAGCTCTTATCTTCGTCTGGTTATCGATTAGAGAATTTCCCTCGGTCACATCAAACACGGATCCCAATGCTTGCCTTATGGGAAGATTGAGAGAACTAGGCCGCCTCCTAGAGGCGCTCTTCTTATTTATACGCTCGGGACGGTGTTGTTGTTCTACTTATCCGAACGTTCCTTCCTGCGATCCCATGCTCAGCGAAGCCAACGGCTGAGCCGTCGTTTGGGCTGATAACCAGCTTTTTGCCTGGACATCAATAATCGCTGCAATATGTTTCGCTAGTGTCCCACGTTCAGGGGGCTCCGCCGAAACCATGACAAGGAAGGAATGTTCCGTTAAGCTGAATGTAGAATAACCCTGAGGGGAGGAGGCCGGCCCGCCGGCCGACGCGCGCGAAGGCGGGCACGCTACTTTTCCGCTATTCTAGAGCCTATATAGCTGCAGCAATCGAACCTGGCAGTGCAAAGGAGCGAAGGCAAGGGCAGCGGGATGGTGGTGCGGAGAGGAGTGCATTGACTAGAGGAGCCACACACACACACATGCGTGTGCTGATATACTTCCCTGGGCGGAAGGCTAGCTCACGACGGACCCGAGAGACACGCAGACGGCCCTCTGATCCTCCAAAACGGCCCCCCGACCCCAAAGGGACACGAACATGGCCCCAAGAGGGCCCAGGAGGGTCAGAGTTGGCGCCGGGATTGCCTCAAAAAGCCCCACGATGGCCCCAAGATGGCCCCAACATTGCCCCAAGACACGCCCACCCGACAGGTTCGAGAAGCCCCCGAAAGGCCCCACCAACGGCCCAAGAGACCCAGAATGGACCCAAGGTCGGCCCGAGAGGCCCCCAGCTGGACTCGAAAAGGCGGCCTCTCAAGACAGCTCCAAGACAGCCCAGGAGCACTCCAAGGCGGCCCCAAGACCTCACCGAGACCCAGCAGAGGCCCAAGACCACCCACGCCCCAAGAACTGCCCCAAGAGCGTCTCGCTAACATCCCTAGAGTCACCATTGCTTCGTAGCTTCCCCCGCGTAAGGGGGGCCGCCGCGGCCCCCGCCCTGCGAGCTCTCTGTTTTTTTTGTTGCGCGCTCTCTCTCTCTCTCTCTCTTTCTCGCTCTCTCTCTCTCTCTCTCTTTCTCTCTCTCTCTCTCTCTCTCTCTCTCTCTCTCTCTCTACAAATACATAGCTTATCCTGGTCGCACCACAGCAGGGTTGCAGAAGCGTCTTTTTCTCGCGGCACGCCCTCAGAACTTCTGATCCTGAAGATCCGAAGTTCACGGCTACAAGGACGGACCACGCTTTTCCGACACGCGGCATTCCACTCAACGCCGCGCACACTCGCCGCAAAGGTCTGTCAGACTCATAAGGATGGAGGGCAGAAGCTTTCAACATTGAGCTCTCGCCTCAGTCCCGCCAGCCCTTTGGGGCGTGAGTGGTTTAGAGCGCTTCCTCTTCCAACCCCCCACCCGCGCTGTTGTTGACGAGGACGAAGGGGGGGCGGCATGCTACCCCACGCGTGCAGGCCAACCACCCCATGTCAAACATTTGTTTGTTTGATTCGCGGGTCGAGAGCGCACCTCTTCCGGTCGAAGCTAAGCGGGCCGCGCAGAGCTTGAATTACGCAGAGAAGGGGGAGGAGAAGGGGGGCGCAGCCTCAGAACGAGGCCGGGAGGAGGCAAAGCCTCGGAACCCACCCCTGTCAAACGCCTGTGCAAGGCACACGCTGAAGCATCATGCTTCATTGTTGGTAAGGGCGATGGGGGCGCCATGGCACGCGCGGCGCACCCCGCGCGCATCACACGCCTGGCTGACGTCTGCAGTGGTTCCCGCTTGTCGATGGCGGTCCCTGTTCATGCTGAGACTCGGGTGCTACTTGATGTGTTGGGAGGACGGGTGGGAGTGAGCGAGACGGCTTGCGGCTTGCGGGTAGCATGACCCCTCCCCCCACCCACCCACCCCCATGGGTCTGGACGGCGGGTGGTCGCGGGTCGTTCGAGCGTCCAACATGGCCCCAGCGAGAAAGCAAGAGTCATTGGTTTCCCTTAGGTTTTGGACCCATGTTGAACTCCCGGGGGGGGCAGCGCTAATTGAGGACCCTCTCATTCTTTGACCGATAGCCTCCAAGATGGCCCCAAGGCGGCTCGAAAAGATCTCAAGAAAGCCCCAAGAGGGCCCCAAGAGGCCCCCAAGAGGCCCCAAGAGGCCCCCAGGCTGCCCCCAAGAAGACTCAAGAGGCGTCCCGAAGGCAACCAAAACGCTACAGGAGGCTCCCCAAGAGCCAGCAAGAGGCCCCAAAGACGCCCAAGAGACATCTAAGCTCCAAAAAGCCCCCGACGTGTCCCAAGAGACCCAAGGAGGCATCCACTGGGCATCTGGCCCACACAGGCTTCCCCAGATCTCCAATTGATGCCACGCTCCCACGTTCAGGGCAGCTCCACTGGGCATCGTGTGAGGATGGGCTGGTGGAGATACGAGAAGCGCCAAGACTTTTGAAACATGTGCTCTCGCCTTAGTGTCACGCACATGAGTCTTACAAGTTCCCAACAGCTACAAGGACGGAGGGCGGAAAGAGTTCTAAATGCAGCTCCCGCCTTAGCGCCGCGCACGTTGTTCTTACAAGGGAGGAGGGCGGGTGGTTTTCACCCGGTGGTTTTCAAAATGCGGCGCTCGTCGCAGCGCCGCGCGCACTCCTTCTGAACAAGTTGCAACAGCTACAATGATGGAGGGCGGGTGAGTTCAAAGTGTGGCTCTCGCCGTAGCGCCGCGCACATCAATCTTAACACGCTGCACCAGCTACAAGGATGGAGAGCGGTTGTGTGCTCTTAAGATGTTGAAGATTTGAAGATTTGCCACAATCACGAGAGCGCAGGACTTGTCGCTTTAAAGACCATGGCTCTCGCCTAAGCCCCGCGCACTTTAGCTATAAGCTCCAAAAGCTACAAGGATGGACCGAGGACTCGAAAAAAGCAGCCCGCTAACTCAGCCTCTCTGGAACAGTAGCACCCAAGTACGCCTCAGCTGTCTGGCGGCCCCTCCCCTTGCGGGTGGCGAAGCGCAACCACCTTCGCCACCGCTGGTGGGAGGACTCCCCAGCTTCGCGTCTGACAGAGGGCGGGTGGCTTTCTGAATGCGGCCCTCGTTTTAGCGCCGCACGCAATCCTCTTAACACAGTGCAGCAGAAATGGGGGTCTCGCCTGAGACGTCCGCAAAGGATGGCAATCGGTGACAGATTGTGTAACTGTTATTAGGACGGAGGGTTGTTCCTTTCAACATAGGGCACTCGCTTGAACAAATCCTCTACATGTGTGGTCCGAAGTGTCAGCTTGTGCGAAAACACGGGGCTGACGCTTGACACTTGCAGTCAAAACATATCTCAAGGACAGGTGGTAGGGACGCAGGACCCATGGAGGCCGAAGCTGGGATCTGTTGGGCGGCGAGCGGCCAGTGAGAACGGCACAGGACGGGCCGCAGAGGCCAGGACACAAGGGTTACATAGATGAAGGCGCGCGTCCTTACTAGGCGCGTTAACTGCACTTACGCTTTAGTGGTATGTCCTCTTCGCGCTCCGTATAGCCGTAAGGGTGACAACGATAACGATCACAACGATCGCAACGACAACGATCACAACGATCACAACGATAACGATAACGATCACAACGATAACGATTGTTGTGATCGTTGTGATCGTTGTGATCGTTGTGATCGGTGTGATCGTTGTGATCATTGTGATCGTTGTGATCGTTGTGATCGAGATCGTTGTCCTCGTGGGAAGCTTCAATTCAAAACAGGGCTCCCACCGGCCTGGCAAGCCCACGGGCACTTTTCTTTCAAGGGGTCGCTCACTCAGAGGAAAGGAATGCACGTAAGGGCTCTTTAGAAGGGGACTTGGGACGGGATGGTACATAACGGCTGATGCATCTTCTTCTTGGTTTGCTCTGGTCATCGTTCTCCTCTCTCTCTCCCTCCTCCCTCCCTTCCTCAACGTGGAGGGGGGGCGACAGGCTTAGAGCAGCAGTGGAACGACATTCGTGGACATCGGGCGACGGCAATACACGAGCTGTCAAAGGCCCTGGCCCTCAGCGGATGTGCTCGGTGTACGTGTAGCAGAAGGGCTCCTCGTGCGCAGCGCACATGGAATACAGCCCGCTCTGCAGCACCAGGTCGTCCAGCCCGTTGGCCACTGGGCAGAGGCCACTCAGCTTCTTCTTGTCGAAAGGCTCGACCCAGGTGCAATAGGTGGATTGGCCGTATCTCTGCTGGCCCATGGGGCACGGCATGTCGTAGAAGAGAGGGTCCCTGGCGCGCATGTCAGTGTGGATGCCGTCGCACTGGAGCCCGCGGTAGCGGTTGGAGATTTGCCACCGCTTCGTGGTAGGGACCTCGATGCCCTGCTCGTAAAGCGCTTTCTCGGTGCGATACTCGTTCGACCCAAGTTGCTTGGACAACTTGCGCTGGAGGATGGAGTTGAAGACGATTGGGATGTTGGTGCGCGGGTCGCGCCCTTTGTCCTGGCTCGTCGTGGCAGCCATGATGGCCTCGTCATGGTAGGTCGGCGAGTCCCACACCATCTTGACCTTAAGCTCGTGGAGCTGGTTGATGGACTCAAGCAGGGCGGACATCCTGTGCCTTGCCGGGACAAAGTTCGAGCCAACCCAGACGACAACGGTGTCCCCCTCTTTAGGGTCCACGCCGATCAATTCCATCTCCTTCTTTATCTCCTTGATGGGCAGCTGGTGGCTGACCCAGCCGTCCCAGTGGATGAAAGATCCAATGCCCTCCTCCGAGCAGCCTTTCGGCAGCTCCGCCGTCTCTGGGGCCTGCTTGGTGCGGGAGTAGAAGCGGGCATTGCTCTTCGTCTTTGACCCGCCTTTCTCGTTCCTGCGGACCGACGCCATCATGTCGTCAAGGTAAGCCGCGGTGTGATTGTCCCACCAGAGCTCAGGGCACTTGTTGAGGCGGTGGAACGCATTGCGGAGGGCCATCATCTGCGAATCGCCAACAAAGAGATGCTTTGTCCTGCCGTGGGCGCGCTCCTTCATACAGTCCGACTTCAGCATGGCTGCGTCCGGGCCGGTCATCTGCAGAGCGTCCTCGGCGTACCCTGCCCCCTGCAACTGCGAAAAATACTTCGCCGCATCCCAGTTGACCGCCTGGAGCATCTGGTCCGTGGGGATCGGGAAGCCCTTTGCACCGATGTCCAAGCAGAACTCCTCGCTGAACTGAGCCTCGCTGGGGGGCGCCAGCTGTCCACACCGACACCGGCCAGGCCGAGCCTGGGCCCAGGGACGTCGGCCTGTGAGGCCATGTGTGCCCCGCTGTCCAGGCCAGGAGGGCGCGCCCTCCGATGCTGGGCCCACGGCCTGCCCGTGCACCAGCGGCACCGGTGAGCACCATCTCATCCGCACACACACACACACACGCACACACACACACACACACACACGCACACACACACGGGCGGTCGCGGCCTCGCGCGCGGCGACGAGGCGAAGCAACCCCCACACACACACACACACACACACACACACACACACACACACACACACACACACACTTCTTGGCGTTCGCGGCCCCACGCGCAGAGACAGGGCGTAGAAAGCTCTGAGAAGCGGGCGCACACGCGCGTCTAGTCGGCCGAACCCTCAAGCCGGTACACACACACACACACACACACAAACAAACACACGCACACACACGCAGTAGCTGCCTCGCGCGCAGCGATGTAGCGGAGTAAGTAGAAGACAAGCGCGCGCGTCCGCGCCCTCAAGAATCAATTGGGATTCGACGCGCCTAGCGCCATAGAGCACATCCTTGGCGTGGATGGCGGGGAGGTGATAACGCCAGCCGAGGGCCCTGCCCAACACGGCGACATGAGCGTCGAAGGTACGGCATCAGCACATCCGGCCGTGAAAGGCGGGGAGGTGACACGCAAACCGAGGGCACACACACACACACTCACACACACACACACTTTTACGTCGCAGCGCGGCAGAGGCAGTCCGCACGCGCGCTCGGGCAAGCCGCACACGCACAAACATTGTGATCCGCGGGTCGAGAGCGAGCCTCTTCCAGCACACGCACAAACATACACACAAACACACATACACACACACGGACAACCCCCAAATGTCTCAAACCATTCACCAAAACCTGTTTTGCATCCCGAGTGATTTGTCCCGGAAAAGGCGCGGGCCCAGGGTGCTCTTTGAGTAGTCCCCCCCCGGGTGTGACTTGAAGAGGGCTGGCGGAAATATTCTGCGATAGCTAACAAGATCGAAGAGGGCCGGCGGAATTCAATCTTGAGCATGCAGCATGTTCCTAGCGAAACGCTTGTTTTTTCTGAAATGTCGAAAAACACCGTTACGTAAGTAAGGTGAGTATGTATGTGAGTTGTGGATGTCTCAAGCGAAACGCTCGCCTTTCAGAACTTGTTGAGGATGTCTCGAGCGAGACGTCCGTTTCGTGCTCGGATCATTCCTCTACTGGTGACCAGAAATCATAGGATGTCTCAGATGGAATGCTTGTTTTCATGTGCCATGGTCTGGAGGATGTCTCGAGCGAGACGCTTGGTTTGATGCCTCAGGGTTGCCTAGGCAGATGTCTAGCATCAGGATTTGTTGAGGACTTCTCGAGCGAGACGCTTGCTTTCACGCGTTCAGGTCGTCCAGGCAGATATCTAGCATGAGGATTTGCTGAGGATGTCTCAAGAGAGACGCTTGCTTTCACGTGTCCAGGTCGCCCAGGCGGATGTCTAGCATGAGGAGGTATTGAGAAGGTCTGAAGCGAAGCGCTTGTTTTCACATGCCCAGGTCGCCCAGATGGATGCCTGACATGAAGGTGTGTTGAAGATGCATCGAGCGTTTTCTTGCTTTCATGTATCCAGGTCGCCCAGGCAGATGTCAGCATGAGGATGTGTTGAGGATGTGTTGATCGAAACGCTTGTTTTCACGTGCCCAGGTCGCCCAGGCGGATGTCTAACATGAAGATGGTCGGAGGATGTCTCGAGCGAGACGCTCGTTTTCGCCCAGGCGGATGTCTAGCATGAGGAAGTGTTGAGGATGTGTTGAGCGAAACGCTTGGCTCCACGTGTCCATGCCGCTCAGGCAGATTTCTATCATGAGGAGGCATTGAGAACATCTCGAGCGAGACGCTTGGTTTCACGCGTCCAGGTCGCTCAGGCGGATGTCTATCATGAGGATATGTTCAGGATGTCTCGTGCGGAACGCTTGTCGCAGTGAAGTGCGTCGCAATCCAACCCCGCCCGTCCATGGGGCGTCCCCTGGCGCCCTGGCGCTGGGTCAGGGACGTCCCGTGGCACGTCGCCTGGCGCGTCCTTTGGGATGCTCCGCGGCGCGTCGCCGTCCCTCATGGCATGTCCCCCTGTCAATTAGCTTTGGGGCAGCTACTATGTGCTCAAGCAGCTCGAGCTTAAGATCCAGATCAGTTCGATCAGGACTCGGACGCAAAAAAGGACTCGATCCACAACGCTATAGAGCACAATCGCGGCATGGCACATCGCAATCTGGCACGGCGCAGCACAGCACAGCCCTCAGCATGGTACCTCAAGGTCAACACACTCAGCATTGCAACCTGGCACGATCCCTGGCACGTTCCGTGGCGCGTCCCGTAGCGAGTCCCCCTGGCACGTCGCGCGGCGCGCCCCCTGGCACGTCCCGTGGCACGTCCATTGGCACGTTCCGTAGCGCACGTCCCGCGGTGCGTCCCCATGGCACGTCCCCTGGCCCGTCGCCTGGCGCGTCCCTTGGGACGTTCCGCGGCGCGTCCCCCCCTGTCAATTAGCTCTGGGGCAGCTACTATGTGCTCAAGCAGCTCGAGCTTAAGATCCAGATCAGTTTGGTCAGGACTCGGACGCAAAGGAGGACTCGATCCACAACGCTATAGAGCACAATCGCGGCATGCACATTGCAATTCAGTACGGCGCAGCACAGCACAGCTCTCGACACGGTACATCGAGATAGATACACTCAGCACTTTAACCTGGCACGTTCCCTGGCACGTTCCGCGGCGCGCCCCGTGGCGAGTCCCACTGGCACGTCGCGCGGCGCGTCCCCTGGCACGTCCCGTGGCACGTCAATTGGCACGTTCCGTAGCGCATCCCCTTGGCACGTCCCGCGGTGCGTCCCCATGGCACGTCCCCTGGCCCGTCGCCTGGCGCGTCCCTTGAGACGTTCCGCGGCGCGTCCCCCTGGCATGTCCCCCTGTCAATCAGCTCTGGGGCAGCTACTATATGCTCAAGCAGCTCGAGCTTAAGATCCAGATCAGTTTGGTCAGGACTCGGACGCAAAGGAGGACTCGATCCACAACGCTATAGAGCACAATCGCGGCAAGGCACATCGCAATTCAGCACGGCGCAGCACAGCACATCTCTCAGCACGGTACATCAAGTTCAAGATCGATACACTCAGCATTGCATTTGCCCGTCGCCCAATCAGGTGTCTTTGAAGCGTTGCCATGCCTTACATGTCCATATTCCTTTCCGGTTCGTAGGTCGATCATGTTGACGGTCCCGACGCCCGGTGAGGGCCCCCAGAAGCCGAAAACTGGCTAGAAACCTTCCGTCGTGATTTTTTGCATGACTCGAGCGAGCGCCGCTCTGGCCCTTGCCACGCGCGCCCCCCAAAAAGACATCCGCCCGGCGGTCCAGCAGCCTCGGGCGCTTGCGACCGGGGGGCCGGCTGGGCCCCATCCCCGCGCTCCCGCGCAAGAATCCTGCAGCAGGACCTCGGCCACAGGAGACCCCCACGAGAAACTCTCGGACCCCGAAGCCGCGCGGTGTCGATGGCTCTGGCCATAGACCTGGCAGACACCAAGAAGCCCAAGGCGCCCTGACGGAGCACGAGCGGTCTCTTGACGCGCGCCCCCACTGCACCACCCCACCCCACCCCACGCACCGCACCTCCTGGGACGATAATGGTTTCGTGCGACGATTTGCTCAGGATACGCCCCTGGGGGGGGGGTCCAGAGCACGGCCGCCCTGCCTACGGAGCCCGCACGGCACATCACGGAAAACCTGGAAACCTGGGGACGTATCATGGCCACGACTTCCAGCGCCTCTGAAAGTTGGCATACCCTGGCCTTGCCGTAGCTGTGCGCGTCGTCGGCGTCGCCTATGTCGGTAAAGCCCAGCTCCTCAGGCGTCTGCCGAGCGGCGACGCGCGCCCTGGAGCCCACCGTGGCCCCGAGGGTCACCGCCGAGGCGCTGGTGAGCACGAGGCTGGAGGCGAGGGCGGGGCGCGCGAGCGCGAACATCTCACGCCGCGACCGAGGGCCGCTCAAATGAAGGTAAGGCAGTGAACGGAAGCGGAAGTCAGACGCTTCGGCTGCGAGCAGCTCGGGCCAAGAGGGGCACGGTCGGGACGGTCGGGGGCCAGACTCCCCACACACAACGTCCTCCGCCTCCCTCCTCCTGCTGCTGTGACTCTTCGAGGACGGCAGCTCCAGCTCCGATTCCACGCCCCCGCACGTGACTGACAGGATCTGGCCGCCACAGTGCTCACGTTTGTGCCGGGCAACAGACTGGACGGGAGAGACGAAAGCAGGGGGGATGGCCAGAGGTGGAGGTGGAACGGGAGAAAAACGAGGGTTAGGCAGGGGAGGAGGAGGAAGGAAGAGAGAACGGGGACGGGAAACGAAGATAATTAAGAGAAGAGGGAGGGAGGGAGGAGGAAGGGGAGAAGGGGTGAGAGGGAGGAAGAGAAGAAATGGGAGCAGGACGCGGACAGGGAGGCGAGGCAGAGAAGGAGGGGCAGGAGCAGTTGAGGAGCAGGACAAGGGAGGAGGGGCTTCAAATACCGAGCCCCTGGCGGCTGCATATCACGCCGAATCCTGCGATCGTACGTTGCCCTGTCCACGAAATTATGCATCCCAGACGCGAAACATAACAGAAAAACGCATGCACAGGAGCTCTTGAATCAACTTGTCATAATGGAGATCGCCGAATGCTGGCTGAATCAAATGCGCGCAATACTGCGCTATACGCGGCCTGGTCCAGGGGTCATGGTAGGCGTGTTTAGCAAGCGTGTTCCTGGTACGCAAGCGCGTAGATGGGTGTGCCGCGGGAGTGGGTCGCTGGTGGCTTGCGGCCGTGGGTCTCTGCCGTACGTCGCGTGGGGGGGTCCGAGCAAACCGCAGCGCCAGGCGAAAACACCATAAGAGGTCGAGAATCTGGACCGCTGAGCCTCACTCAGCCGCGCACCTAGGGACTTTGCAAGGCCGTTCGGCCCCCTCACTCTGATATGAAGCCCATCCAATTCAGCTTCAACGTTTACGTGTGCAGGTGCGTATACTTGTTGCTGAAGAGTATCCCTGCTTCAGCGAGTTACTTGTTTCCTTGTTGCTGAAGAGTATACTTGTTTACTCGTTGCTGAAGGGATACTTGTTTCATCGTTCAAACTAACTAAAACTATCACTTACACATTCACCAGCATCCTACTAGTCCTTCGGCGACTGACTCTGACAAAATGCACGCTGCATGTGTTATTGTATATGTGCCTGCCTCGACTGATTTCAAATCATTGAAAATTAGGGGACGAAGGCGTACACGTCGTTCATTTCTAATCGTGCTCATTTCTACTCGTGCTCGTTTCTGCTTGTTCCTGGCCCCCGAAGTGCCCAGGATAGAAGAATTAGAAATGAACGAATCTTGGCCCCAAAATCAACCAAGGAACCCTCGAATAATCAGAAATGAACAATGTGTAACGGAACGGAGTCGCCCAAACGAGGATTCGGTTTCGGTTTCGGCCCGCGCCGTGCGTGCGAGGTGAGACTTGGCGAGCTCCTGCACCAACCGGGCCCCACGTCGCGCCAAGAGGAGCCGCGGACGTCTGGGGCAGGCCCGGGGCTGTCCCGGGGCCGTCCCGAGACTGTCCCGTGGCTGTCCCGTGGTTGTCCCGCCGATGTCCCCTGGTTGTGCCGCGGTTGTCCCGCTGTTGGCCCGTGGTGGTCCCGCAGCTGGCCCGTGGCTGTCTCGCGATTGCTCCACGGCTGTCCCGTGGCTGTCCTGCAGACGTCTCGCGGCTGTCCAGTGGTTGTCTGGTCCCTAGATAGGTGCATAGATCGTGGTAGATAGAAATCGGTAGCGACATAGTTAGACATGTGCATGGTGGGATCCATCGTGATAAGTTCGCATTCACAATCAAGCCAAGCGAGATCGACTTATCGTTTTGATCATGGGATCGATCGATATCGAGTGTTACCGATAACTGAAAGACCGAAACATATATGCACATCGACCTCATTAGAAATATTGATCGAGGAACCACTTCGACGCCAATCGCAAACCGAACACTGCACCCACCCACCCAAGTGGCCTTGACACCATAATGGTGTTCTGACAAATAAGAATGTTTCTGGGCTCCCTCTACCCTTTTGAAACTTCTGCCGATACCTCTACTTCGATTCATCAGTTTTCTTCAACTCATGACTCTTGCATTCTCCAACGCCCGAGGGTTGTTTCTTGCTTCCGAAAGGCTTTGTGCTCCGTGGTGCAATTCGCCATCGCTGGTCCCGGGCCCCGCCGGCCTTCGATGTTGCGATTTGCCGTCGTTGGTCCCAAAAGGCCGCATGCCTTCTTTGTTGCGCTTCACCGCCGCCGTTCCTGAGACCCGCCCTAGCTTCGCTGCTGCGCTTCGCCGTCGCTGGCCCCCGGTCTGGCTCGCACTCGACATGTCACCCACCGTCGCCAAGCCCGGACCCCACGCGCTTCCATTGCGATTCGCTGTCGTCGGCCCCGAGTTCCCTTTGCCCTCTACGTCGGCACAGGCCTTGGAACAAATTAGCGAACACTCATGCCACATTCATCTGTCAACGCCTCCCCTTCCCCCCAATGTTCAAAGTTGGCGGTGGGTCTGATAAGATGCACATCGACCGCAGTCTTCCCCGCGCGTGCCAACATTGAGTTTGGGGGGGAGGGGGAGTGTTCAGTAATTGTTTTCCTCTACCGTATTCGCAATCGCGTGGCCAACTGGACGAAACGTTGTGCGTTCGAGCCGCGTGCTGCATGTGGCAACTGTGGGAATCGCGCCTAAGACCCACGCGTGAAGCTTTAGCCTGGCGATGGGCCCAACCTATGACTATACGCAGCTGCGTGTCGCGTGGGCCGGTCCACTGCGAGCGCCCCTGCAGCTTGCCTCTGCAGCGCGGAAGATCTGCAGCGCAAGCCGTCCCCGGACATGCCACGTCATGTTTTTTTTTCAGGACGGAGTCCCCAGAAGTCCCGACCCCCTCCCTGGGACCGGTTTTTCATCCTGAGTCGTTTCGTTGACAGTCCCGAAGCCCAGCGAGGGCCCCCCGAGTCCGAAAATGGCAACAACAACAACAACAACAACAACAACAACAACAACAACAACAACAATTACTAGCACGTGGGGACACACCGTTCTCACCAGTGCCAGGGTTTTCATAGGAGGCGGGCAATACCCCCACTTTGTGGGGGGGCCGGTTCAAGCTCTACCAAATTTCCAAACGACTCTTCGCCACCACCCACACCCAGCTTCCCGCCCTATGACGTTCGGACACTTCACTTCGTGGCATGCGGACGACCGTGGCTACTATTCAGGGCCCCGCGGCCGACGACGACGGCGTGCGCGCGCGAAGAAAAAACGAATGTGTCCCGCATGGTATTATTTGACAGGGATGATGGCCCTGGCAGGTGCGCAACCGTTGTCGCAGAAGTTCGAAAAAGTTGCTCGCAAAAGCCCGTTTGACAGAAATGTTTAAAAAGTGTTGGGTTTCCTACGAATCCGCAAGAGCGCGCGGGATGAGATTTTGACATTTTTTTGTTGAAAAACCATTGGTTTTTTGATGTTTTTATGTTAAAATCGCTCCGAACACTAAGCTTTTGGAAGGATTTCGTCTTGCGCGCGCGAATGTCCACTTTACCTTATTTTTTGCAAGGGATTCTTGAAATTTGATTATATTAGAACAAGAAATGTCATTTTATAGTGTTTTTTGCAAGGGAAAACGGATTACAACAAAACAACCGGATCTGGACCCCATCCACTTTTCTGAAGCTTTCGCGAAAATGATGAAAATGTAGCTGCGGCCTAGGCGCGGCGGGGGGGCCGTGCACCAGGGGTCCCAACAATAATTATTCTTTAGAATTAATAATGTTCAACAACAACAACAACAACAACAACAACAACAACAACAACAACAACAACAACAACAACAACAACAACAACAACAACAACAACAACAACAACAACAACAACAACAACAACAACAACAACAACAAAAACAACAAAAACCTCTGGTCCTGATTGTTTAACGACGCGATCACGTCTGGGTCCACTCTCCACGGCTGTCTCCTCGCCTTCCCTCGCCTCCTCGGTGGCCCTCTGCCGTGTCGCAGGCCGACCTGGGCCCCCCCGCGCTGAGCGATCGCCGGCGCCGCGGCCTAAACTGTAGCGCGGTCCTGGCCCTCGAGGAAGAGGAGGAGGAAGAGAAGGAGGAGGAGGAGGAGGAGGAGGAGGAGGAGGAGGAGGAGGGGGAGGAGGAGGAGGAGGAGGAGGAGGAGGAGGAGGAGGGGGAGGAGGAAGAGGAGGAGGAGGGGGAGGGGGCGGAGGGGGCGGAGGAGGAGGAGGAGGACGACGCCGACGCGCCGCGGGAAGGATGCAAGTCTCGGCAGTGTGGAACATGGGCTGCGTAGCAAGCGCTCAAGGAGACGCCCTGAGCTCCCCATGTCGGCGGCCAGCGAGAGGGGGGAAGCGAGAACAAAAAACCTCCTCAGAAGGTTCGGAAGCCCCTCGGCATTCTGAGAAGTTTTCTGTTGCGTCCCCGAAGACGCAACAAACTTCGCACAAAGCGCGAGGGCTTCTGAGAAGTCCCGCCGTCTTCTGAGAAGGCCTTCTCCTTCTCATTGCCCCCCCTCGCTCGCCGCTGACGATGGGCACGATCCCCGCTTGACTTCGCTGGTGCGATTCACCATCGCAAGCTCGATCGCCTTCGCTCTTGTTTGGACGCCCGAAATGGTACGGGAAAAAACGGGTACAGTGCCCAACAACAAATGCTGTCCCAGACCAGCAGCGGCCGCTGTTGGGCAGGCGGCCTTTCTGTCTCGAGTGGGCACAGGCCGCGGCGGCGCGGACAGCGAGTCCTGTCAAAAAGGAACAGGAACTGCTGTTGGGCATCGTGCCCATTCTTTCCGTACCCATTTCGTTCGTGCCGAACCTCCCGTGGTGTTTTTCATGACTCGAGGGGGTCTGGGTGCGGGAGGAGGAGGGGGAGGAGGAGGAGGAGGAGGAGGAGGA